GCCATCCCCACGAACACCATTCGTACCTGGACAACCGCAGGCGCACGACAGTTATTCAGTCCTGGTTATTCGGCATATGTTTTCTCAAAAATGGATGAGGTGAGCATGTCGCTTCAGGGAAGACAACTGACAATATTTGTTGCTAATAACAAAATTTGGTATTTCAAGCAAAAATTCGAATTTTGGAAAAATTTTATTTGCTACGATGAGCTTGACGGCTTCCCAAGTGGCCAATGCACGTGTGATGTTACAGAGTCATGCTTAGGTGAAAGATCCTTTCAGAATGCAAAACAGGCCAATGGGTTTTAGTATAACAGAAGACAAAAAGTTTCTTGATGAGGTTTTAGATTCCAGGCTGCAAGTGTCCCTCAAGAATCTACCACTTGTCAGGCCGAGGCGGGCAGATCACTCAAGGTCAGAAGTTCGAAACCAGCCTGAGCAAGAGTGAGATCCTGTCTCTACTAAAAATAGAAATTAATTGGCCAACTAAAAATACATAAAAAAAAAAATTAGCCGGGCATGGCGGCACATCCCTATAGTCCCAGCTACTTGGGAGGCTGAGGCAGGAGGATTGCTTGAGCCCAGGAGTTTGAGGTTGCTGTGAGCTAGGCTGATGCCACGGCACTCTAGCCTGGGCAACACAGTGAGACTCTGCTTCAAAAAAAATAAAAATAAAAATAATCTACCACTTGTCGAGGTTTGGTGTAGTATCAAAGAAGACTGCCCAATAACTTAAAAGACTGTTAGAATTCTCCTCCCTTTTCCAACTCCACATCTGGGGGAAGCTAGCTTTTCCCTGTGTGCTTCAATCAAAATAACATATTGCAGGAGATTTAATTAATATAGAAGCAGATAGGAGAGTCTAGTTGTCTTCTCTCAAGCCAGACATTTAAGAGATTTGCAAAAATGTAAAACAATACTTTTTCTCTTCTCTTTTTTAAAAAAGTCATTTTTATAAAAATATATTACTTACATTAACATGAATTGAGTTTATTATTTTTATTTCAAGTGAGCTAAGAAATGAATATTTAAGTTTCTTGGCTTTAACTTTTAATATGGCAAATATCAATAGCCCCACATAAACCAACACTCTTTGGGGTCCTGAACAATTTTTAAGGGTGTCAAGCCATCCTAACAGCAAAAAGTTTGTGAACTACTGGTCTAGCACATGTGAGGTGGGAACCGGCGAGCAGGTGTTTGCAGCTGGGTGAGTCAACGCGGGTCTGTACAGGGCTGGAGAAAGGTGGAGGACCTGCTGCAAGGCGGGAGGACAAGCCTGGGGGATCCCAGGAGGTGTCCTTATAACACAGCTAAATGTGGCTGACAGGAGATTGTCCAGGTTGCTGGCATGAGGAATCCCCGAAACAGCAGGGAGATCCCAGAAACCCACGTGAGAGGTTGAAACAATAAACATCTGAACAATGATCTGAGCTGTTGACCCCACACAAAGACGCTCAGGCACTGATGTACTCCCCCACCCGCCACCAACTCTAGGGGCCCATGTCCACATGCTCCCAACGTGGGCAGATCCAGATGCCGTGGCGGGCTCTCTCCTGCTGACCTCTAGCACAGAGGCCTGTGAGACACCCTGGCTGGAGTCGCGAAGGGGACGTTCCCTGAGACCGTGTGTCCTGCCCCCCCAGGCCCTGACACCACGGCCAGCACAGGCCTGGCCCTCCTTTCCAGGCCCCTTGCCCCAAGACTGCCAGCTCTGGTTTGCAGCCGCCGCCGGCTGCGGCGAGCGGGTGTGGGCGGGGCGGAGGAGATATTCTTGGCCGGGAGAGGAGCCAGGCCTTTCATCCCTCAGCATGGCCGCTGGGGCCTCCATCCTCAGCTGGCGGGAGGCGGGAGGACCCGCGCTCCCTAGATCCCGTGTCACGCAGCCTCGGCAACAGGCCTCCCTGCCTCTACGGTGAGGGCAGCTGAGTTACCAGCGCGTCAAGCAGGGCGAACAAGCCAACCAGGGTGGGGCAGCGCCAGGAAGAACTTCGGGAGGCCTCCATGTCAGACAGGCACGCTCACCTACGTACAGGGACATGGGGGCGCACCTGAGGGCACTCCACTCCTCTCCCCGCCGGCCGGCCTCCGTCTTGCTCTTGCCGCACGCCTTGACCACACGGCCCTGGTTCTCCTCGCGCCCGCTCCTGCCACTCCCCCGCCCCTGCTCCACTGGCCCGGGTGCCCGCCCACCCACGGCACTCTGGACAGGTCAAGCCCTGAGCAGACTCCAGGCCAAGCCACAGGCCAAGGCACTCTGTCACTAGCGAGGGTGGCCCCCAGTCAGGTGTCTGCCCTGGTCCAATCAGCGGTAGTGTGGTGCTGATGCGGTCCTCTGTGGGGTGGGGTCTCGGGTGCAGGTTAGTGGATGGGACAGGTGACTGGTTAGTGTGGTGCTGATGCGGTCCTCTGTGGGGTTGGGTCTCGGGTGCAGGTTAGTGGATGGACAGCGTGACTGGTGGTGTGGGCTGGATGCGGTCCTCTGTGGGGTGGGCCGTCATCGGTACAGGTTAGTGGATGGGACAGGTGACTGGGGTTAGGTTGTGGTGCTGATCGCGGTACCTCTTGTGGGATGGCGGTCTCGGGTGCAGGTTAGTGGATGGGACAGGTGACTGGTAGTGTGTGGTGCTGATGCGGGGTCTCTGTGGGTGGTCTCGGGTGCAGGTTAGTGGATGGGACAGGTGACTGGTTAGTGTGGTGCTGATGCGGGTCCTCTGTGGGGTGTCTCGGGTGCAGGTTAGTGGATGGGACAGGTGACTGGTTAGTTAAGTGTGGTGCTGATGCGGGTCCTCTGTGGGGTGGGGTCTCAGGTGCCTGAGGCGCCAAGTAACACAGGGGTTCCCTGTCACTCCAGCCCACTGGTGTGGGGAATGCACTAGTGCCTGACAAATGTTGAGCAAGTGGCATAAACAGGGTGCTTGACCCTTGGGACTTGCCGTCTTCTAGTTGCAAACCCTGGGCTTGTGTGTCAAAGCCAGTTCTCAGACAGCGTTTGTTGGACCCCCTGAAAATGGGAGATTTCCCATCCAAATCTGGTCCTCCACTGAAGCTGCTCTGGGTCCCCCAAAGCGGAGCCTGAGGCAGGACAAGCAGCGTGTTTGAGAGGGGAGCCCCAGCAGCAGGAGGGGGAGGGGACAGGATGGAGGTGAGAGGGGAGCCCCAGCAGCAGGAGGGGGAGGGGACAGGATGGAGGAGGAGCCGTGAAGGTGAGGCCTGAGCTGGCACTGCTGTGGACTCTGGGGCTCCACCTGCCAGGGAGCGGGAGGCCACACAGGGGAGAAGGGGGAGGGGGAGGAGGAGGAGGAGGAGGAGGAGGAGGAGGAAGGCTGGGGCATCGTCCATGAACTCCATCCTCCAGTGGCTCTCCGGCAGCGCTGGACTCACCTGCTGGCTGGGGCCCTGGGGGAGAGGGAGTGCGGCCCCCTTCAGACAGGGCCTGGCCCCTCCCCGCCCCCACCCATCTTCATAACCTGATGGCCCCTGCCAGCCACCCCCCAGTTTGTAAATTGTGCCGCAGCCTTTCACAGAGGACACTGAGGCCAGGGGTGGGGTGGGGTGGCCTGGAGACCTCGGCCAAGGTCACTCGGCCCAGCACACTGCACTGAGTCCAGGACTCCTGACTCCCGGCAGAGTGCCCCCTGCCACCCACTCTGCTTTCCTTCCCACCCAGGGTTTGCTGGTGGCTCGACCTCTCTGCCCTGGGAGCGAGGCCCTCGGAGACGGAGACGCGCCCTGGGCTGCGGGCGCCCCGGCCGGGCCCCTTTCTTTGCTCCCGGCTGGCTCAGGACAGAATCCAGTAAATAACATGCTGCCCATCGATCGGAGGTCACCCGGGCCAGGGCCGATCGATGGCCGCAGACAGCTGGGCAGGCGGGTAATGAAGTGCCAGCTCCTTGGCGGGGGTGCCGGCCCTGGAATTTAATCCCCCTGCCTCCGCCTGAGGCCCCAGCTCAGGTGACAGGAGGGAAGACAGATGGGGCTCTGAGGCCAGTCGGTGGGCGTGGGCGGGGGATAGGGCGGGGGTGGGGCTGGGGGGTGATGAAGCTCACGGCACCGGCCCTCCGTACTCCGCGTGCTGCCTCCCCACACAGGCCTCCCCTGGGGACCTCCTGGAAGAACGTGCACTGCCCCGTGCCCACACAGAGCACAGCTCACACTGTGCACGTGTCCTGCAGGCATAAGGCTGTCCACCCCTCTAAAATGAGGGGTCTGGGAGGGCAAGGAAGGGCACGAGAGACTAAACATTGTTGAACAGTAGGATGTGCCAACTCGGTGTCCTGGGGCTTTGTATCTGTCACCTTATTTGATCTTCACAGAGTTCAGCCTGATAAATATTATATTATTACGTCCATCCCAGTAGATAAAGAAACAGGTTCAGAGAGGAAGAGAAGTTTAACAATCAGAGCTGCTCGATAATGCAGTGGACTGGGTGGCCTCATGAGATGGTGAGTTCCCCGTCACTCTGGGTATTCAAGCAGAGGCCAAAGGGCTAGCTGTCAAGGGCCACAGAGGGACTCCTGCAGAAGGTGAGCTTTGGACTGGGCTCCTTCCCAAAGTTGAGCTTGTACAAGTCTTTCGGAAGGACAGAATAAGCTGGGCTTCAGGGCAGGGCCCCTGGCCCCACGCGGAAGGATGGCAAGGGAGATGCGGTTACTAAGCTGGTGGCTTCCCAGCCATGTCTGCAGACCCCTGGGGTACTCTGGAGGCACTTCAGAGTCAACAAATATTTGACTCAAAGTTCATTTTCAATGCCATGGTTATGAGAACCTGATAAAACAGTATTTTAAAACAAATATAGCCGGCAATAGTGTTATACAACTTTTATCCCACTTGAAATCACTAGAAAGGTTGCTTTGAGTGGACCTGGGGCTAAAGATTCTCCTACATCTGTATTTAATCAAAGAGCATTGCAAGGAGGGATAAGAAACAAAAACCCCTCTTTTTCTTGCAATTACTTATCTGTTTGAATAAGTAATAGTACACAACACAAACACCGTGCAGACACAAGCTGGAGGCTGAGCTGATGCAGGGTGGAAACTGTCACTAATACTCCCTCATTCCTGTCTTATATGCAGCAAAACAGCCTTGTTCTCATCTTATCTAATCTTGTTATAATTGCTCCCTCTTGTTACATAAGAATATGGCACACATGTGAACATATCAAATACAGAATATGACTTTTATCTGGTTTACGCATTGTGATTCTACTTAGATTTCATTTGAAATTGAAAATGCCGGGACATCTCCATGGCAATTTTCATTGAAAATGCTGGGACATCTCCATGGCAAAGTGACCACGGCTGCCACCCGCAGGCCCTTCCCAAGCAGAGTGGGGTGAAGGGCTGGTTTGGGGTCTGCAGCCGCGTGGGCGTGGCCCCCGGCCCTGGGTGACCGTACCCATGCCTGGCCCCGTCCCAAGCCCTTGGCCAGCAGCTGGGGAGGAGCCCGACACATACGCTGGGTGCCGGGATGAGCGGGTAAGGCTGGAGCGTTGTGGCCCGCGCTTCCCCAGGAGGGCGGTCTGGGGAGGAGGCAGCGGGGGCGATGGAGGAAGCTCGGTGGCCTGCAGAGAAGCTGTGCGCAGTGCGGGACAGACGGCCATGTGGAGGCAGAAACGCCGCTGGAGCCGCAGCCGCAGGTCAGAGAAAGGTACGCGAGGATGGTGAGGTCCCCGGCTGGGGCGAGGGCCCAGTAGACGGGAGCTGGTCTCTGTCTGGATGGGAAACGCTCGGCTCCCGCCCTGCGGGTCTCACAGAGGCCCAGAAGCTGCGCTGCTGCCCTGTCTCCAACCCTCTCGACTTCTAGAATTCCCTTCTGGGCCCTGCTAGTCTTCCAGGGCTGTTTATGGGGCCCTGACAATGCCTGCTGGCCTCGTTTCTATCACATGTGGCTGCCCTATCAGCTCTCCGACCTCAGCACCCGAAAAGAGCCCATCTGGCCCGACTGGTGAGGTCCAAGGCCCCGTCTCCAAACAGGCCCTGGGAGGACCCTGGATGAGCCACGGTTCAGGTGTCAAAATGCCAACCTTGTCTCATATCACTCACTCCTTCTCTCCCCACCCTTTGGCAGCAACCCTGGTCTTAGGCCTGCCTCCCCCAGCTCCGAGCACACCTACTGCAAGGCCTTTACTCAGTCCTGTATTCCTATGTTTGCTTCTGCAAAGTTCCTTCCTGCAAAGCTTTGCACCAGGTCTCAGCCCGGGTGTCACCTCCCCAGACATCCCCCCCGGACCACCTCATCCACTGCAGCCACCCCGACCCTACCAACACCCGCCACTCCGTCACCTGGGCTCTCTTTTCTGCATAGCGCTTCACGTTTTCTATGGTGGTCTTGCTTACTTCTTGTTCACTGGAGTATTTGTTTTTCCACACCTGAATGTCAGCTCCACGAGGACAGGGACCTTGTCCGTCTTGTTCACTGAGTGTCTGCAGCCCCTAGCACTGTGCCTGGCACACAGTAGGCCCTCAACAAACGCTTGGGGAATCGAGGCGCTCAGAGGTTGGGAGCTGTGCAGCTGTCAGGGACAGGGCGCAGTCTTGTCTCCTTCTGTGCACGCTGTCCTGGTTCTCCTCACGTCACTGGGACCTGGATCCTTCCGCCTTCCACCTGGCTTTCCCTCGAAGCAGCCCTTAACGCTCTCAGCCCAGAAGCCCCGCTACCCGCATCGACCAAGGCCTCTGCCCACCAGCCACCCTCCCCTCTCTCCCCAGCCCCTCGCTCTTTCCTCTGTCAAGCCTCTGCGCTCCTGTGCTGAAAAATAAAGTCACCCACTTCTCACCCTTGCAAAGCACCCCAGGTGGAGGCCTGCGACAGAGGCCGGGAGGCGGCGCTCGGGAGAAGCGTCCAGTCTGGCGAGCTGGCGCGGAGGCGTCTGCAGCTGGGCGCAGAGGCGCCAGGAGGGGGGCCACGGGGAGCCTGGGCCGTGCAGGTGCGGGGATTTGGGGCTGGCAGTCGGGCGGTGTGGGAGGCCAGGCTGAGAGGGCTGACAGAGTTCTGTTTTCCACGCCTCCCGCCTGCTCACTCACAGCCGTCCTTCATCGCGGCTCCCTGCCCGCCTCCCCACGTCTGATCTCATTTAGCACGGCAATTAAATTTTAAAGGCCATCAGCACGGTCCCTCGCATGCCAGGTTCTTCCCAGATAGGGTATTTAATAGACTGGGAGGCAACTCTGCAGGCTCCGGCTGGGCTGCAGACCCACTGAGGCAGAAAATTAATAAGCACGCGGCCTCCCCGCCGCCCTCTCGTGGCCGGGCCCAGCCCGCCTCTCTCGCCCTGTCTTGCCCACCCAGGCCGCCGGGCAGCCTCCCGGGCAGGGGGCGTCGGGGTCTCGGGGGGGAGGGGGGCAGGGAAGCCCTCCTTGCCCAGGAACCCAGAGATGACCTCAGGGTGTCGGGGCTGTCTGGAGGCCCCGTTCTGCCACTTACTAGCACAGCGGGGCGAGACACGCTGCTTAGCCTGTCTGCCCTCGTCCACTCATCGTGGGATGGGGTCGTGGGGAGGCTCACGGAGCCGACGCACGCACAGCGCTCCGCAGGATAGCCAGCTCGTGGCAGGAGCTCAGTAGACGAGGTTCCTTCCCTGTCCCTCACGAACAGTCACGGCTTGTGCGCTAATGTAGGGGCCACTGGGCTGGGGTGGGGGTGGCAGGGGCAACAGGAACAGGAACAAGGCAGTCCTGAGTCACAGGGCCCGAAGGGTGTGTGGGCTGCCTGGAACTCAGGCGTGTGGCCTCAGGGAAACAGGCGTGGGTCAGCACCTGGGTAGGAATCTTGCTCCCTGTGTGCTCCTGGGCATGTCATTACTTCCTTGGGCCTCAGTTTCCTCACTTATAAAATGGGGACAGGGTACCGACTTTACAGGGTCACTGTGAGGCTCCGTGAGGTGACATGGCCGAGCTTTGGCACAGTAGGTGCCATGATGATTCTTCCTGTTTCACCCACCAGGTGCCAGGCGGCCGCCCTGCGGGGAAACCCCAGGGCAGAGGAGCATCTTGGGAGAGCCACAGGTGAGGGCGATCACACCGCCGAGGAAATGAGACATGAGATCTGGGGGACAAGCGCCGGCCTGGGCCCAGGCTCGTGTCTGGCGGCAGTGGCTCGCGCTCCGGCCCCGTCCTCACCTGCCCCGTTCCAGATCCAGCCCCTCCTTGGTGAGCGGTGGGGCTTGAGGATGAGGAGGGTGAAAGTGCTGTGGGAGGTGGAGCCCGAGCTCATCTAACAAATATGGACCAAGCGCCTACTGTGCGCCAGGCACTGCTCCAGGTCCTGTAGTGCTAGGGACACAGCAGTGACCATAGCAAAGATACTGTCCTCTCGGGGCTGGCGTCAGACAGGGCTTAGATGACAGTTGATGCTGCGGTCAGGGAGGGGGACAGTGAGTGGGGTGATGGCAGGAAGGGGGTTATGCTTTTACATGGGGTGGTCAGGAGAAGGTGACATTTGAGCAGAGCCCTGAAGCAAACGTGGAGCCATGTGCATGTCTGGGGCGTGCAGGCTGAGGGGCAGCCCGTGCAATGGCCCTGAGGCAAGAGGGAGGTTGGCCAGTTGAGGAGCAGCAAAGAGGCGGAGGAAGTCGAAGTGCGGTGCTTGTGGAGAGGGCTGTGAGGGGGCAGGCCTCCTGTGCGCAGTTTTGCTCACAGGAGGTGAGCAGCGGAGGCGGGGGCGGGGGTCTGAGCAGGAGAGTGACAGGGCCTGACAAGCCTGTGGCTTCTGAGGGAAACTGCAGAGGGCAGGCGAGGAAGCCAGGCACGGGCAAGGAAGCTCCGTCAGCAGTTCAGGGGGAGGTGACAGGGTCCTGGAGCAGGGCGGGGACGGTGGAGATGAGAGAAAGGCTGGGGTGCTGGATATGTCTGGAGGGTACAAGGGCTGGGGCACCCAGGGTAGAGTCTGGGGTCGTCTCCCCAAGGACTGCCCCCCAGGCCTGGCAGCCCAGCCCTTGGTGCCTTGGCTCTCTGTGGGATGACGACCTTCCAGGGAGCTTCAGGGGCCTTCTGCAATCAGCCCTGTGGCGGGTGGGAATCTTCCCCGGCCTTTCCGCCCCCCGGCCCCCCAGCAGCTCTGGCAGGCGTCCGCCTCCGCCCTGCCGCAGGCCTGGCGCTGGGGCCGCTGGAGGGGCCGCCGTGAGAGCTCTGCCAGGTGGGAGAGCCCTCCGCGGGGTCAGGGGGTGGGGGGTGGCGGGCAGCATGGAGGCGCAGCCTCGTGGGGAGGTGTCCCTGCGAGCCCTGCGGTCTCTCCACCACCAGCCTTCCCTCGGGCGCCCATCCTGACTGCCCACGGCGGGGCGGGGGTCCGGACACACCCCTGCCCGGCCCACCGGGCCCCCTGCACCAGCCGGCCACCGATGCGCCCTCCCCACCCGCCTCCGTTTGGGCCCCAACAGTCAGGACCACCGCGCTGGGATTCAGCAGATGGCCTCATGCGCTCAAACCTACCATTTCCCGTGCCTCCCGAGCCCCAGTGAATTATATGAAAAGAAATCAGCCCTGTTTTCCTTTTTCCGCACAAAGAAATAAAGGAAAGGCTTTCAAATTGCTTCCAAAGAGGGGCGCGGCCTCCACAGGGGTGCGGGGCGGGAGGGGAGCGGGAGATGGGCGCTGCCCCACGGTGCTGGTCGCAAGGCGCGCCGCCACGCGCCACGCGCCACGCGCCACGCGCCACGCGCCACGCGTCACGCGCCACGCGCCACGCGCCACGCGCCACGCGCCACGCGCCACGCGCCACGCGCCACGCCGAAAAGCAGATGCCGGAGCAGATGCCCCAGACCTCCTGCGCTGGAAGCTCTGCGGTGGGGACCTGTGTGTACACTCGTGGGCACCCCCATCCCCCGGTGGTTTTGAGGCACACAAATTTGAAGTCCGCTGGTGAGGTTGTGTTCCGAGGTTTATAACGTGGGTTATTAGTGCTTGGTCCTGGGGGCAGGGCAAGTGCAGGGGGCCGAGGAGGGCGGGGTTGGTGGGGCGGCGTGGTGGAGAGCTGCCCCCAGCTCTTGCGGACAGCAGGTCTGGGGCACCTCTTAGCATACTCTCTCCCCAGAACTCTCAAGTCACTGGCTGCAAGGAGCAGAAGGGAAAGGCTGTGGGGCAGGGGCAGACCCCGAACAGGCAAAGGCCCTGAGGCAGGAGAGATCCTTCAAGCGAGCAGGAAAAGGCTGTGTCTGTCTGGGGCGCAGTGGGAAGGGCAGGCAGGCGAGCTGGAGACTCTGCTGATGAAGACTTCGCTTCTTGCCCAAACCACTGGGAAACTATTAAGGTTTTCAGCAGGAAAGTGGCGTGGTCAAATTCTTAACTATTATTTTTAAATTTTTTACTTATTTTATTTTTTAAATAAAATTATTTTATTTTATTTACTTTCTTGCTGTGTTGCCCAAGCTGGAATGCAGTGATGTGATCATTCATAGCTCACTGCAGCCTTGGACTCCTGGGCTCAGGCGATCCTCCCACCTTGGGCTCCCAAAGTGCTAGGATTACAGGTATGAGCCATCACACACGGCCCAAAAATTGTTTTAAAAAATTAACATACAGTAAAATTGACTTTTGGGGGGTGCAGACAGTTCTATGAGTTTTAACATATGTACAGTTTCATGTAACCACAATGAGGACACTGAATGATTCCATTAGCCCCCAAACCGCCTTGTGCTGGCCCTTTGTAATCCTCCCCAACCCCTGGCAACCGCTAATCTGTCTGCATTGCTATAGTTCTGCCTTTTCCAGAATGTCACATGAATGAAATTATACAGTATATGACCATCTGAGACTGGCTTCTTATCACTCAGCTTAATGCCTTTAAGATTTATCCAAGTTGTTGTGTGTATCAATAGTGCCTTTTTATCGCTGGGTAGAATCCCATGGCATGGAGGGGCCACAGTTTGTTTATCCATTCATTTCTTGGAGGACATTTGAATTGTTTGCAGTTTTTGGTGTTATGAACACAGCTGCTATAGACATTCATCTGCAGTTTTTCCTGTGAATATGAGTTTTCATTTTTATAGGGTAAATATCTAGAAGTGGGATTGCTGAGTCGTATGACACTTGTATATTTAACTTTATAAGAAACTGCCAAACTGTTCTCCAGAGTGGCTGTACCATTTTGCATTCTCACCAGCAGTGTATGAGAATTTTATTTAGGTCTTGGATTTCTTACATCAGCATTTGCAGTTTCCCCCGTACAGATCTTGCACATGCTTTGTTGTGCTAATACCTACGTATTTCGTTTGCGGAACTATTGTAAATGGTGTTTTTTAAAATTTTGGTTTCCAAGTGTTCATTGCTAATATATGGAAATAGGATTGGTTTTTTTGTGTGTGTGTTGACCTTATATTCTGTAACTTTGCTCAACTCATTTATTAGTTCTAGGAGCTATTTGGGTAGATTCCATATTTTCTTTTCCTTCCTTCCTTCCTTCCTTTTTTATTAGAGAGGGGCCTTATAAAATAAGTTGGAAAACATTCCTTCTTCTGTATTCTGGAAGAGATTGGTGTTATTTCTTCTATAAATATTTGGCTAAATTTGCCAGTGAAGCTATATGGGCTGAGAGATTTCTTTTTTGGAAGGTTTAAAATTACAAATTTAATGTCTTTAATATTAGAAAGTCTTATATAATAGATATAGTACTCTTCAGGTTATCTGTTTCTTATTGGGTGAGTTTTAATAGTTTGTGGCATTCAGGGAATTGGTTGGTGCATTTCACCTAAGTTGTTGAATTTATGTGTACTGAGTTAGTAATAACATTCTCCCATTGTCTTTCTAATGTCAGAGTGGACATCAGGTATAGTGATATACCCTCTTTCTTTCAAATACTGGTGATTTGTGTCTTCTCTCTTTTTCTCCTTTGTCAATTTGGCTAGAGGTCTATCCATCTTATCCATCTTTTCAAAGAAATAGATTTCAGTTTCCATATGGTTTTTCCATTTTTCAATTTCATTGCTTTCACTCTTTTCTCAATTCTTTCTTCCTTCTTCTTGCTTTGGGTTTATTTTGCTATTTTTTTCTAGTTTTGTAATTTCTTGAGATGGAATTTGGATTGATATGTTAATACCTTTCTTTTCTTCCATATGAATGTTTAATATTATAAGTTTCTCTTTAAGTACTGCTTTAGCTCTATCTCACAAATTTTGGTTTATTGTAATTTTATTTTATTTTTTGAGACAGGGTCTTGTTTTGTTGCCTAGGCTAGAGTGCTGTGGCGTCAGCCTAGTTCACAGCAACCTCAAACTTCTGGGCTCAAGTGATCCTCTCTTGTCTCAGCCTCCCAGCTTGGCCTCCCCGACTACTAGGATTACAGGCATGAGCCAGCATACTGGGCTGTTATTTTATTTTTGTTCAGTTCAAATATCTTCTAATATTCCTTCAGACATCCTCTTTGAACCATGGATATTTATCAGTGTGTTGTTTTATTTTCAGTGTGTGGAGATTTACCAGAGTTTTGTTGTTGTTGTTATTGACTTTTTATTTAATTCCATTATGCTCAGAGAATATACTTTGTATGACTTTAATTTTTTTAATTTGTTAAAGTTTGTTTTATGACACAGCGTGTGGTGAATGTTCTATGTGCACTTGAAAGGAATGTGTATTCTGCTGTTGATGGGTGGAGTGTTCTATAAATGTCAATTAGATCCCGTTTGTTCACAGTTTTGTTTAATACTTCTGTATCCTTGCTGATCTGAGTATGTTTACTACCAATTCTGAAAGGGGAGTGTTGAAATTTCCAACTATAATTGTGGATTTTGTCTTTTTCTGTGTTTAATTCTATCAGTTTTCGATTCAGGTATTTCGAAGCTCTGTGGTTAAGTGCTTACTCATGTAAGAGTGTTATGTCTTCCTAGTGAATTGACCATTTTATCATGGAAAAGTGTCCCTCTTTATCCCTGGTAATTTCTCTAACTCTGAAATAGAACTTGTCTGATACTAACTTAGTCATTTTATATCTCTTTTGATTACAATTTGCAAGGCATTTTGAAAATTATTAAGCTAGCTATATCATTATAGTTATAGACAGCATATTGTTGGGTCTTGTTTATTTTTTGTCCATTTTGATAATTTCTAATTTTTAATTGATATCTTTAGATCATTTACATTTAATGTAGTTAATGATATGATTGGATTTAGAGCTTTCATTTTATTATTTGGTTTCTATTTCTTCCCTGTTATTCATTCCTGTTTCTTCCTTTCTGCTTTCTTTTGGATTATTTGACTAATTTTATATTCCATTTTAATTTACTTACTGAGTTTTTTACTGTATCTCCTTGCATACTTTTTAAAAGTAGTGGATCTAGTGGTACAATATGCTTAGCTTCATGGTCTGCTCAGCAAATTCTGTTTGAACAAGGTCATCGGGTCACAGCCTGGCGACGCAGGGAGATGAGTTGAAATCAGGAATGCCGGCGTTAGCAGACAAGAACACAGCATGATCCTTGAAATATTTCAATTATTTCATGGAATTCTAACTAGAAAAGAATATTAAAAATAGATGTCCAGTTAGATTTGAATTTCAGATAAACCATGAATAATTGCAATAATTGTTTAGTGTAAGTATGTCTCACGCAATATTTGGAAAATACTTACACTTAAAAAGTCA